AATAGTAATGTTTCACTAATACGCATCCATTATAAACTAAAAGTCATATATGGGAGCGCATTAGTGACATCGTCTAAAAGTCATATATGAAAGCGTTTTAGTGACATATAATCTAAAAGTCATATATGGAAACGTATTAGTGACATAGTCTAAAAGTCATATATGGAAGCGTATTAGTGACATCGCCTTAAAGTCACATATGGAAGCGTGTTAGTGACATCGTCTAAAAGTCATATATGGAAGCGTATTTGTGACATAGTCTAAAAGTCATATATGAAAGCGTATTAGTGACATAGTCTTACAAAGGTGTTATCTAGGTATATGAAACTATCATCTACTTACATTATTGTTTTAAAATAGTAATGTTTCACTAATACGCATCCATTATCCTGATCATTTAAGACAATTTCCATCAGTTTAGATACGATATATGCCCAGAGGGCGAAATGTCGGTGGTTCCATCTCCTGTCCACGTGGTGCCAGAGATCGTTGGAAGATGATACTTGTTGTTTCCCTGTCTGGCACTCAGCATGATATGAAGGAATTAAAAAAGGACTGGTAGGGTTGATGTCAGTATGAAGTTTTGAGTGGATAGTCATGCTAAACCCTGACACTATACGTGAGTAGTGTAAACTCTGCATGTCTGCCTCATACTTAACTAGTCAAATTTGTCCCTTTCGATGATACAGTTTGTCATACACAATTCCATATGCAATGTTATTTCTTTATCTTGTAGATTATCTATATGGGCGTTGTAATGTACACTCCTTCCCTGGCACTGAGTCAAGGTAGGTATACCAATAATCAGGTATATGCAATCAGCGAAACTACCAGTAAAGATCCGGGTTAGAACTGGTCTTCAGCAACCCATGCTTGTTCCAAGATGAGGCTAACGGGATCGGGCGGTCAGATTTGCCGACTTGGTTGATGCATGTCATCGTATCGTAATTTCGTAATTAGATGCTCATGATGTCAGTCACTGGATTGTCTGGTCAACACACGATTATTTATAGACCGCCGTCATATATACTATAATCGTTTAGCCTCACTTAAAGCACACACTATCTGTTATATATACATGTATGGTTACATCGAAAATGAATTTCTCAACGAACTTGGGGAAACCAACTGCAAACTTTATGCTGATGAATTGCAGGAGGATCATGCAACAAATTGCTAAAAAGCATGTGCAAATATCGTGCATGTGAACAGCTGCGTTTTGGTGCAAAGTTTTGTTAAGAATTTACCAATTTTCACTGATTTTCATCGTTTACTGAACTCATGACAATGATCTTTTCAACGTTACGAATTTGTTTTACAATACATAAGTTCATTTGTAAACAGTACTTTTAAACAGAATGAAATATATTGCAAAATCTAGTTTAGGACAGTTGACTGACGTAAGTGGCTACATTTACACTAGTGAGTCTAAACTTTTGATGGGTAGTATAGCTGGAACATTGCTGAGTGTGGCGATATACAACAGCCAGACAATAAACTAAACTGGAAACCGAATTATAAAGTTGATTTTGCAATTGGTCAGCTGTGAGAAATTATTTGATAAAGTAACAAATAAAACACTGCGACTCCTTGTTGTGAACCTGTGACCCAGTCGTTAAAGGCGCCCTTCGAGTTGTATCCCTGGGGTACGTGAGGGATTATATGATGGTTGGTTCGATCTCGGATTTCCCGGATCATGTGTTTAGGCTTGTCAACACCATACCTGTGCTTGAAGGCTTCGCCAAGGTAGTGAACGTATGAGGTCTATCCGCCTTTGGGCTTACCCCCTACACCAAGCTGACACTGTGATATAACTAGAATGCTGTTAAAACGGCGTTAAACCCAACTCACTCACTCACTCTCTCTCACTCTCTCTCTCACCCACTCACTCACTCTTTCTCTGGTGGAAAGCGTGTTTCAATAAACGTCATGTACTTTTTTGTTTGAAGTTTGAGCTCACATAACTAAATCGGTGGTCAAGCTCCGTGACTTGTTTGACTTGGCATCATACGCTTTGGAACGTTACTCAAACCAAATAATCACTGGTTTCATTATTTACGACATGCCAGAAATCACTGTGAGTTCGAATCCAAGATTCGACCTGATTATGCTTCTTGGTGTCCGTGTAGATACCGTCCTCGTGGGTTTCCAATAAGCGGTAAAACAGACCTGTAGCGGATGCTTTCGTCCCTATTCAGTCTCGCATGGTATTACTGATGTAACTGAACCCATTCACCCTCCCTTCCAGTCACAACTGACTCAATCACACTCAGGGGCGGCGGGGTGACCTAAAGGGCTAAGGCGTTCGCCCATCACGCCGAAGACCCGGGTTCGATTCCCCACATGGGCACAATGTGTGAAGCCCATTTATGGTGTCCCCCGCCGTGATATTGCTGGAATATTGCTTAAAAACGGTGTAAAACTAAACTCACTCACTTCCACTTCCACTCACTCACAAACCCACTTACTCATTTACACACCCACTTAACCATCCACCCATCCACCCACCCTCCCACTCACTCAATCATATTTAATTCTACAGTATCGATATCAACAGCTTTTGTGTCGATTTTTAATTGACAAATACATAATTCCTGTGTTTTCAGTAACTGGACTGTCCATGGAATTGTGTATCCTGACGGTTGGCGTTGTTTGCACATTCTACACGACAATTGTAAGTATTGCTGCTGTCATGTTGTAGCTGTATGTCAAGTTGCTACAGTATGTCACGCTCCAGTTGTGTGTAATGTTGCAGCTGTATGTCACGTTGCAGTTGTGTGTCATGTTGCAGCTGTATGTCATGTTGCAGTTGTGTGTAATGTTGCATCTGTATGCCATGTTGCAGTTGTGTGTCATGTTGCAGTTGTGTGTCATGTTGCAGTTGTGTGTCATGTTGCAGTTGTTTGTCATGTTGCAGTTGTGTCATGTTGCAGTTGTGTGTCATGATGCAGTTGTATGTCATGTAGCAGTTGTGTGTCATGTTCCAATTGTGTGTAATGTTGTAGCTGTATATCATGTTGCAATTGTGTGTCATGTTGCAGCTGTATGTCATGTTGCAGTTGTGTGTCATGTTGCAGTTGTGTCATGTTGCAGTTGTGTGTCGTGTCATGTTGCAGTTGTGTGTCATGTTGCAGTTGTGTGTCATGTTGCAGTTGTATGTCATGTAACAGTTGTGTGTCATGTTCCAATTGTGTGTAATGTTGTAGCTGTATATCATGTTGCAGTTGTGTGTCATGTTACAGTTGTGTGTCATGTTGCAGCTGTATATCATGTTGCAGCTGTATGTCATGTTACAGTTGTGTGTCATGTTGCAGCTGTACGTAATGTTGCAGTTGTGTGTCATGTTGCAGTTGTGTCATGTTGCAGTTGTGTGTCATGTTGCAGTTGCGTGTCATGTTGCAGTTGTGTCATATTGCAGTTGTGTCATGTTGCAGTTGTGTGTCCTGTTGCAGTTGTATGTCATGTAGCAGTTGTGTGTCATGGTCCAATTGTGTGTAATGTTGTAGCTGTATATCATGTTGCAGTTGTGTCATGTTGCAGCTGTATGTCATGTTGCAGTTCTGTCATGTTGCAGTTGTGTGTAATGTTGCGGTTTTGTGTCATGTTGCAGTTGCGTGTCACGTTGCAGTTGTTTGTCATGTTGCAGTTGTGTCATGTTGCATTTGTGTCATGTTGCAGTTGTGTGTCATGTATCAGTTGTGTGTCGTGTTGCAGTTGTGTCATGTTGCAGTTGTGTGTCCTGTTGCAGTTGTATGTCATGTATCAGTTGTGTGTCAGGTTGCAGTTGTGCCATGTTGCCGTTTTGTCTCATGTTGCAGTTGTATGTCATGTTGTAGCTTTATGTCATTTTCCAATTGTGTGTCATGTAGCAATTGTGTGTCATGTTGCAGTTTTGTGTCATGTTGTAGCTTTATGTCATGTTCCAATTGTGTGTCCTGTTGCAGTTGTGTCATGTTGTAGCTTTATGTCATGTTGCAGTTTTGTGTCGTGTTGCGGTTGTATGTCATGTTGTAGTTTAATGTCATGTAGCAGTTGTGTGTCATGTTGTAGCTGTATGTCATGTTGCATTTTTTGTCATGTTGCAGTTGTGTCTTGTTGCAGTTGTGTGTAATGTTGTAGGTGTATGTCATGTTGCAGTTGTGTCATGTTGCAGTTGTGTGTCATGTTGCAGTTGTGTCATGTTGCAGTTGTGTGTCATGTTGCAGTTGTGTGTCATGTAGCAGTTGTGTGTCATGTTGCAGTTGTGTGTCATGTTGCAGTTGTGTATCATGTTGCATTTGTGTGTCATGTAGCAGTTGTGTGTCATGTTGCAGGTGTGTGTCATGTTGCAGTTGTATGTCAGGTTGTAGTTTTATGTCATGTTCCAATTGTGTGTCATGTAGCAGTTGTGTGTCATGTTGCAGTTGTATGTCATGTTGTAGCTTTATGTCATGTTCCAATTGTGTGTCATGTTGCAGTTGTGTGTCATGTTGTAGCTTTATGTCATGTTCCAAGTGTGTGTCATGTAGCAGTTGTATGTCATGTTGTAGCTTAATGCCATGTAGCAGTTGTGTGTCATGTTGCAGTTGTGTGTCATGTTGCAGTTGTGTGTCATGTTTCAGTTGTATTTCATGTTGCAGTTGTATGTTATGTTGCAGTTGTGTGTCATGTTGTAGCTTTATGTCATGTTCAAATTGTGAGTCATGTTGCAGCTGTATGTCATGTAGCAGTTGTGTGTCATGTTGCAGTTGTGTGTCATGTTGTAGCTTTATGTCATGTTCCAATTGTGTGTCATGTGGCAGTCGTATGTCATGTTGTAGCTTAATGTCATGTTCCAGTTGTGTATCATTTTGTAGCTTTATGTCATGTTGCAGTTGTATGTCATGTCGTAGCTTTATGCCATGGTGCAACAGTATGTCATGTTGGAGCAGTATGTCATGTTGTAGTTGTATGCCATGTTGCTGTTTTATGTCATTTGCTGCCGTTATATATCACGTTGTGTTACATGTTGTAGGGTGGTATAAAAGCTGTTGTGTGGACAGATGTTTTCCAACTGTTAATCATCATTGGAGGATTGTTCGCCCTTGTTGTACAAGGCGCCCTCGATGTTGGAGGACTGGGGAAGATATTCGAGAGAGCCACCCAAGGGGGGAAGAATGCCATATTTTGAGTAAGAATTCAGTTGTTTGTCATTTCCACAAACTTTGATACTTTAAATTGAAATAGGCTATTTTCAGGCTAAATTCTTATCATCATCATCATCACCACTACCATCATCATCACAATCACCACCACACCATCATCATCGTCATCCTGTCATCATCATCATCATCATCATCATCATCATCACAACCAATACCACAACACCTTCGTCATCGTCATCCATGTGTTGCCGATTTGAATTAATGTTACAATCATAATTATCTTTTGTCAGCTTCAACCCTGATCCCTTTGTGAGGAATAGCTTCTGGACTCTGAACATCGGCGGATTCTTCACTTTCCTGACAGTGTTCGCGTCCAACCAGGCCACGCTACAGCGTTACTCCAGCGTTAAGTCACTCAGAGGAGCGCAGCTGTGAGCACATTAGATATTAGTGAGGGGGATTAGGTGATAAAACATGTCGAAGCAACTCTGCAGTGTAAGGTTTCAAAGTTTAAACTTAACAAGGCTACGATAACCTACCTCTGTACTGAAAAGGCAGGATATGTATATGTTAAAGGTGAGTCGGTTGTCTGCCGATCATGTTATCTGATGGCGCTGTGTACTTTCTAAGGTGCAATCACGTCATCATAATATGCTCACTTACATGACAGGCGTTGAATATGTGCACAAAGCTACTCGACAAGGACATTATGAGAGGTCCTATCCAAGGTCCTATCCTAAACAAACAAACGAGACGAGCTGAAATCGCATCTCAAACGTTACTGTTAGAACCCACGAACCCGTGGCGTACCAGGTTTAAATTGATCTTCAGCAACCCATGCTTGTCGTAAGAGGCGACTAACGGGATCGGGTTGTTAGGCTCGCTGACTTGGTTGACACATGCCATCATATCCCAGTTGCGCAGATCGATGCTCGTGATGTCAATCACATGATTGTCTGGTACCGACTCGATTATATACAGACCACCGCTATGTAGCTGGAATACTGGAATGGGGTGTTAAACACCAAACATCCATTCAACCACTGCGCAAAACAATATTCGCATATTTCATATCCCTGTTTTCCAGTGTACTGTGGCTGGCCTTGCCTATCGCCATTTTGAACATGTTGCTGATCTGTGCTGTGGGTCTGGCAATATACGCCCGCTACCACGACTGCGATCCGTTCCTCAGTGGGCGAATCGCCAAACTCGACCAGGTAGGAGGTTACAGCTGCATGCATGCAACTTACATTTCTGTCAACAAACCAACAACTTCAATATCTAAGGACAATCGTGTTAATATCGTTTACAAGGAACAGTAGGTTGGCACAGGTGGCCCTGTCGTTGCGGATGATTTAGAAAACTATGATCGACGGTTCGAATCCCAGATTCGCTGTGATTATGTTTCAAGGTTTATCAGCACAATACCGTGCTGGAGGATTTCACGATGGTCTACGTCAAGATATTAAAGGCCAACTCGGGGTTACCTCTCTTATCAGCCGGGGCGGTGGGTAGCCTAGTGGTTAAAGCGTCCGCTCGTCACGTCGAAGACCCGGGTTCGATTCTCCACATTAGTACAATACATGGAGCCAATTTCTGGTATTCCCCGTCGTGATATTGTTGGAATATTGGTGTAGAAATATACTCACTCACTCATTCTCTTCAGCCAGACACCACGAGTCCCTCAAAAGGACAACGATGGGCTTATCAATGTTTAAATATCAGGTGGGGTAGCCTCGTGGTTTGACCCGGGTTCGATTCCTCACATAGGTACAATGTGTGCAACCCATTTCTGGTGTCCCCCGCCGTGATATTTGTGGAACATTGCTAAAAGCGGCGTCAAACTCAACTCACGCACACCCTTAAATGTTTGCGGATATGAGCAGGGGGTGGTCATAAATGATAATTTGTAGATATCCTCTTCCATAGCTGGACTCACGTGAAGCCTGAGGAGAATCGATATCATATTAGGAGGACATATAAATTCCGCTGACCAGGATGGTAATACGATACGACCAACGAGGGTTGAAAATAGTTCTGAAATTTAACCATGTTAGTATTGATGTTACACACTATGAAATTATGATGAGAAAACTTTACCTACAAAAAGCAAGCCTTTTACTACATTCTACGTGACTGCTATAAATGATGGATACCTTCACTATATTGACAGATTGTACCCTTATACACGACGGATACCCTCTCTATATTGACAGATTGTACCTTTATATATATGGTGGATACCCTCTGTATATTGACAGATTGTACCCTTATACTCGACGGATACCCTCTCTATATTGACAGATTGTACCCTTATACACGACGGATACCTTCTCTGTATTGACAGATTGTACCCTTATACTCGACGGATACCCTCTGTATATTGACAGATTGTACCCTTATACTCGACGGATACCCTCTCTATATTGACAGATTGTACCCTTATACTCGACGGATACCTTCTCTATATTGACAGATTGTACCCTTATACTCGACGGATACCCTCTCTATATTGACAGATTGTACCCTTATACACGACGGATACCTTCTCTATATTGACAGATTGTACCCTTATACTCGACGGATACCCTCTGTATATTGACAGATTGTACCCTTATACTCGACGGATACCCTCTCTATATTGACAGATTGTACCCTTATACACGACGGATACCTTCTCTATATTGACAGATTGTACCCTTATACTCGACGGATACCCTCTCTATATTGACAGATTGTACCCTTATACACGACGGATACCCTGTCTATATTGACAGATTGTACCCTTATACACGACGGATACCCTGTCTATATTGACAGATTGTACCCTTATACACGACGGATACCCTCTCTATATTGACAGATTGTACCCTTATACTCGACGGATACCCTCTCTATATTGACAGATTGTACCCTTATACTCGACGGATACCCTCTCTATATTGACAGATTGTACCCTTATACACGACGGATACCCTCTCTATATTGACAGATTGTACCCTTATACACGACGGATACCCTCTCTATATTGACAGATTGTACCCTATTACTCGACGGATACCCTCTCTATATTGACAGATTGTACCCTTATACACGACGGATACCCTCTCTATATTGACAGATTGTACCCTTATACTCGACGGATACCCTCTCTATATTGACAGATTGTACCCTTATACTCGACGGATACCCTCTGTATATTGACAGATTGTACCCTTATACTCGACGGATACCCTCTCTATATTGACAGATTGTACCCTTATACACGACGGATACCCTCTCTATATTGACAGATTGTACCCTTATACACGACGGATACCTTCTCTATATTGACAGATTATACCTTTATATATGGTGGATACCCTCTGTATATTGACAGATTGTACCCTTATACTCGACGGATACCCTCTGTATATTGACAGATTGTACCCTTATACACGACGGATACCCTCTCTATATTGACAGATTGTACCCTTATACACGACGGATACCCTCTCTATATTGACAGATTGTACCCTTATACACGACGGATACCTTCTCTATATTGACAGATTATACCTTTATATATGGTGGATACCCTCTGTATATTGACAGATTGTACCCTTATACTCGACGGATACCCTCTGTATATTGACAGATTGTACCCTTATACACGACGGATACCCTCTCTATATTGACAGATTGTACCCTTATACACGACGGATACCCTCTCTATATTGACAGATTGTACCCTTATACACGACGGATACCTTCTCTATATTGACAGATTATACCTTTATATATGGTGGATACCCTCTGTATATTGACAGATTGTACCCTTATACTCGACGGATACCCTCTGTATATTGACAGATTGTACCCTTATACACGACGGATACCCTCTCTATATTGACAGATTGTACCCTTATACACGACGGATACCCTCTCTATATTGACAGATTATGCCTTTATGTATGGTGGATACCCTCTGTATATTGACAGATTGTACCGCTATATATGATGGATACCCTCGGCAGTATCCCCGGCCTACCTGGACTATTTGTTTCCTGTATATTCAGCGCTTCACTCAGGTATGCAAATAAAAGACGCGAAACACATCGATGTTTGGTAGTATAGGTTTTTTCAATGTACAGTTAACCCCGTTTGTCGGTCTGTTGCTTTAGCAATCCGTTTTCTCCGACGAATACTGCTTCAAAGGTTACATTGGTATACGTTCGATTCCCCACATGTGTGGAGCCCATTTCTGGTGTCCTCCGCTGAGATATTGCTGGAGTATTGCTAACAACGGCGTAAAACAAAACTCACTCACCCAGTCACACATAGATACATAGGAAACACTCAGTAAAATCATTCTCAAATCTGCGAAAGTGTTAAGCTTAAGCCGTTGACATTAACACATTTTAACGATACATATCGACGTTACGGCATAGCAGCCCATGCTTGTCATCAAGTAAGTTGTACGCTTCATTGCTAGAAGTGAGTATTTATGGCCCATACCCGTGAAGGTCCGGGTTAGAATATTGATCTTCAGTAACCCATGCTTGTCATAAAAGGCGACTAACGGGATCGGGTGGTCAGTCTCGCTGACTTGGTTGACACATGTCATCGGTTCCCAATTGCGCAGATCGATGCTCATGATGTTGATCACTGGATTATCTGGTCCAGACTCGATTATGTACAGACCGCCACCATATAGCTGAAATATTGCTGTGTGCGGCGTAAAATTAAACTCACTCACTCATTTATAGGTCCCGTGTGAGAAATACGCATAATGTCGAAAAGCGCACGTAAAATATCCAAATTAGCAGCAGCAGCCTAACGCCGCAAAGCAGGACAAGTAACAAACCAGACAATCAAGTTATCGATGAACCAGAAAATCTAGTTGTATATTTTGAATTAAAAGTTAGAGTTAAGAGATTCCTGCGCTTTCAAGTAAAGAGAAAAAATTTGGAAACCACGTCTTTGTTGCATATTTGCCAACTCTTTCGCTTAAGACTCACCCCTTTCTTATTCATGTCTCTCTGACGATAAAACTGATAAATCTCACGTTTAACTTTTACATGCACACTTTGACCACTTAAAATCACTCAAATTGGTCTGAATATATGTTTTTCAGTGACTTTTTTGAGAAGGGAATTTGCAATTGTGCGTTGACGTGGAATTTCAACCAGGTTCTACCCTGGACCCATCAGGGCATATGGCCGTTGGAACCGGGTATCCTTGCGGTTGGAATGTTTGTTGTTGTACAACCAAAGTTCAACGGATCTGTTTTCAGTACTGTCTCCTCCGGAGTGAACTCTCTTGCCGCTGTGTCAATCTGTGACTACGTGAAACCGTTCCTGGCATTATTTGAGAACAAGCCGTCTTCAAGAACAGTCTCTATACTCTCCATGGCGTGCTGTAAGTTATAGTTCCTATGACTTTTTTGGTACAATATAGAACACACTTTATGGATAACAACTTCTTTTTTCGTGAGTGCGACGTTTCGATACAGATTCTTGTACCGTTGTCAAGCATAATGGAACACGAAGAAGGGGGAAGTATATATATGCTGGATGTAACAATGTAACAAAGAAAACAACATAATTAACATATTTGGCTAGGCAGAAAGCTGATGAAGCCAGAGAGTAGACAAAGGACAGGCGTGGAAGCCAATGATGTACAAATAATAATGAGATGTTTATACAGCAGTGAGTTTATACAGTAGATTGGGCTTGGTGGATGAGTGCATCATAAGCGGATGGAATGAAGTATCCTTGGTCTCGGTTGATGGTGGGCTTTTGACGTTTGATGTGGATGGCTTCGGTGAGCTTGCGTTTTGCGTTTAATGAAGTCTGTTTGTTTGTTAGAGAGAATGGTGATGTCAGACCACTCTATTTGATGATTGGGGCTTGGTTTGATGTGGTCGGAAATGGCTGATTTGCTGTCGGAATTGGTAACAGAGGTCTGATGTTCTTATTGTTCCATTATGCTTGACAACGGTACAAGAATCTGTATCGAAACGTCGCACTCACGAATAAAAAGAAGTTGTTATCCATAAAGTGTGTTCTATATAGTTCCTATGGTTGAAACAATGTTGAAAGGGATATTTTCACAAGACCAATATATCGATTCGTAAGGTATGCATCATACGTTACATAATGAAACATAATGAAGAATTCAGCGCTACCAACCCATACTTGTAAAGTGCGATTGGGGACCGGGTGGTCGGGCTCGCTGACTTGGTTCCCAAATGCGTAGATCGATGCTCACAATACTGATCACTGGATTGTCTGGTCCAGACGCGATCATTTACAGACCGCCCCATGTAGCTGGGATACTGGCAATTAACATTAATAATTATACGTTTGTTCACATACTCATTTCAAATTAACAGTAAGTTATATTATTATTAATAAGTTAATAGGTTCGTCTAATAGTGAAACACGTACAAGTTATTAGATCACGGAATCATTAAGATGAAGTGCACAGTAATTTATCAGTTCAAGTGACACTTAAAATCATTAACAGTTATTAATGAGTTTATACAATAACTGAAAAAGTAACATAATTTTATTGGATCACATAATCGTTGACAATTAATGTCAACACTTTTTGAATTTGTTCAAGTAATAACTTTAAATGAACAGTTATTAATAAGTTCACGTAATAATTTATAATTGCCATTAACAGCGAAATTCTGGTGAAATTCACAGTAACTAAGCAAAAGTTTATCTCATCATCAGCATTTATTTCACTGCAGCAATTTTCTACGGGATGCTGACGGTAGGCTTGGCGTACGTCGCGGGTGTTGTGGGGAAGACTGTGCTACAAATTGGCCTCAGTGTGTTCGGAATGCTGGGGGGACCGTTACTGGGGCTGTTCTGTAACGGGATGTTCTTCCCCTTTGTAAACTCTTGGGTAAGTCTGTGATAGATCACCCGTGAAGATACGGGTAGTCTGTGATAGATCACCCGTGACGATACGGGTTAGAATTTGTCTACAGCAACCCTTGCCTATCCTAAGAGGCGACTAACGGGATCGGGTGGTCAGACTCGCTGGTTTGGTTGACATATGTCATCGTATCCCAATTGGTTAGATCTATGCTCATGATGTTGATCACTGGATTGTCTGGCCGCCGCCATATTTATTGACTATTGTCCAGTAAACCCAGTTAATATTTCATTCTTTTGGAACCATGACTAGTATCAGCACAACATTTTACTCGAACTCCACATAACTCGAATTTCGTGCTCTAAGAAGTCCAGTTATCAATATTTTATTGAATCCTCATTATGATGTTTCCAGGACATTGAGCTGTCACGCTGTTTTACCACTGATATACTCAGTCTGTGCAGAGTTCTGTCCCCTTATGGTTGGGGACCGCCTCTGTGGTGTAGTGGTTAGAGCGTCCGCCCGGAGAGTGGAAGGTCGCGGGTTCGATCCCCGACCGCATCATACCAAAAGACGTAAAAATATGGTACTTGTTGGTCCCTGCCTGGCGCTCGGCATTAATGGGTACAACAAGGACTGGTCGGCTCGGTGGGGTATTCATGCTTCACTGAGGCATGGTATCTCAGTGGGCTAGCACTATAAAACTAGCTTCAGTCTGGGCTAGTACAAGCAGGCGCACATACACATACACACGCATGCACGTCGTCATATGAGCGCAATATTTTCAAGCACGACGTTAAACCTAATTTCACCTCACCTCACCTTATGGTTGGTTCCCTGTCAGCAAACCAATCACCACTCCCACACCATGTTCTGTGTTACCCCAATGTTTAATATTCCTGTGGCCTTCATTACGTCGAGATTTCCCCCACATTAACACAGTTTGTGATGTAACTGAACTACTATTTAAAGCTCCGTTAACCTCAAATGACTTACTGTTAAAACATAATCGTGTTTACTTCACTGAGAGAATTACCCACATGCTTGCAGGGTGCTGGTGCTGGGTTGACGAGCAGCCTCGGGGTGTCCCTGTGGTTAGGGATCGGCGCTGCCCTGCAGCCTGCCAAGAGAGGTGCCCTGAATTTGGTCACAGAGGGCTGCACCATCGACAGCGGCAATGTTACCACTTCAGCATTATCTGTTTTCTCCAGTCTCGCTCCTACGTTAAATACAACAGATGTTCCAGCCACTACACTTGATGTGTGAGTATTGCTTTAACGTGTTGCAACTGTTGGGGATGTTTGTGTACTGACAGATACAACTCACGGGTATGTTTGTGTACTGAAAGATACAACTGTCGGGTATGTTTGTGTACTGGCAGATAGAACTCACGGGTATGTTTGTGTACTGAAAGATACAACTGTCGGGTATGTTTGTGTACTGACAGATACAACTGTCAGGTATGTTTGTTTACTGGCGGATAGAACTGTCGGGTATATTTGTTTACTGGCGGATACAACTGTTGGGTATGTTTGTTTACTGACAGATACAACTATCAGGTATGTTTGTTTACTGGCGGATAGAACTGACGGGTATATTCGTTTACTGACAGATACAACTGTCGAATATGTTTGTGTACTGACAGATACAACTGTCAGGTATGTTTGTTTACTGGCGGATAGAACTGACGGGTATATTTGTTTACTGACAGATACAACTGACGGAAATGTTTGCACTGGCGGATAGAACTGACGGGTATATTTGTTTACTGGCGGATACAACTGATGGGTAAATTAGTGTACTGACAGATGCAACTGTCGGGAATGTTTGTGTACTGGCGGATACAACTGACGGGTATGTTTGTGTACTGACAGATACAACTGACGGGAATGTTTGCTAACGGGCGGATAGAACTGACGGGTATATTTGTTTACTGACAGATACAACTGTCGAGTATGTTTGTGTACTGACAGATACAACTATCGGGTATGTTTGTTTACTGGCGGATAGAACTGACGGGTGTATTCGTTTACTGACAGACACAACTGTCGAGTATGTTTGTGTACTGACAGATACAACTATCGGGTATATTTGTTTACTGGCGGATACAACTGATGGGTAAATTAGTGTACTGACAGATGCAACTGTCGGGAATGTTTGTGTACTGGCGGATACAACTGACGGGTATGTTTGTGTACTGACAGATACAACTGACGGGAATGTTTGCTAACGGGCGGATAGAACTGACGGGTATATTTGTTTACTGACAGATACAACTGTCGAGTATGTTTGTGTACTGACAGATACAACTATCGGGTATGTTTGTTTACTGGCGGATAGAACTGACGGTTGTATTCGTTTACTGACAGATACAACTGTCGAGTATGTTTGTGTACTGACAGATACAACTATCGGAAATATCTTTTTACTGGCGGATACAACTGACGGGTAAATTAGTGTACTGACAGATACAACTGTCGGGAATGTTTGTTTACTGGCAGATACAACTGACGGGTAAATTTGTGTACTGACAGATACAACACACGGGAATGTTTGCTTACTGGCGGATAGAACTGACGGGTATATTTGTTTACTGACAGATACAACTGTCGAGTATGTTTGTGTACTGACAGATACAACTATCGGAAATATCTTTTTACTGGCGGATACAACTGACGGGTAAATTAGTGTACTGACAGATACAACTGTTGGGGATGTTTGTGTACTGGCGGATAGAACTGACGGGTATATTTGTGTACTGACAGAGACAACACACGGGAATGTTTGCTTACTGCCGGATAGAACTGACGGGTATATTTGTTTACTGATAGATACAACTGTCGAGTATGTTTTGGTACTGACAGATACAACTATCGGGTATGTTTGTTTACTGGCGGATAGAACTGACGGGTTTGTTTGTGTACTGACAGATACAACTGACGGGTATGTTTGTGTACTGACAGATAGAACTATCGGGTATGTTTGTGTACTGACAGATACAACTGTCGAGTATGTTTGTGTACTGACAGATACAACTATCGGGTATGTTTGTTTACTGGCGGATAGAACTGACGGGTATATTCGTTTACTGACAGATACAACTGTCGAGTATGTTTGTGTACTGACAGATACAACTATCGGAAATATCTTTTTACTGGCGGATACAACTGACGGGTAAATTAGTGTACTGACAGATACAACTGTCGGGAATGTTTGTTTACTGGTAGATACAACTGACGGGTAAATTTGTGTACTGACAGATACAACTGACGGGTATGTTTGTGTACTGGCAGATACAACTGTCGGGTATGTTTGTGTTCTGAGAGGTACAACTGTCTGGTATGTTTGTTTACTTGCGGATAGAACTGACGGGTATATTTGTTTACTGGCGGATACATCTGACGGGTATGTTTGTGTATTGACAAATACAACTGTTGGGGATGTTTGTGTACTGACAGATACAACTGACGGGTATGTTTGTGTACTGACAGATACAACTGTCAGGTATGTTTGTTTACTGGCGGATAGAACTGTCGGGTATATTCGTTTACTGACAGATACAACTGTCGAATATGTTTGTGTACTGACAGATACAACTGTCAGGTATGTTTGTTTACTGGCGGATAGAACTGTCGGGTATATTTGTTTACTGACAGATACAACTGACGGAAATGTTTGCACTGGCGGATAGAACTGACGGGTATATTCGTTTACTGACAGACACAACTGTCGAGTATGTTTGTGTACTGACAGATGCAACTATCGGGTATATTTGTTTACTGGCGGATACAACTGATGGGTAAATTAGTGTACTGACAGATGCAACTGTCGGGAATGTTTGTGTACTGGCGGATACAACTGACGGGTATGTTTGTGTACTGACAGATACAACTGACGGGAATGTTTGCTAACGGGCGGATAGAACTGACGGGTATATTTGTTTACTCACAGATACAACTGTCGAGTATGTTTGTGTACTGACAGATACAACTATCGGGTATGTTTGTTTACTGGCGGATAGAACTGACGGGTATATTTGTTTACTGACAGATACAACTGTCGAGTATGTTTGTGTACTGACAGATACAACTATCGGGTATGTTTGTTTACTGGCGGATAGAACTGACGGGTATATTCGTTTACTGACAGATACAACTGTCGAATATGTTTGTGTACTGACAGATACAACTATCGGAAATATCTTTTTACTGACGGATACAACTGACGGGTAAATTAGTGTACTGACAGATACAACTGTCGGGAATGTTTGTTTACTGGCAGATACAACTGACGGGTAAATTTGTGTACTGACAGATACAACTGACGGGTATGTTTGTGTCCTGGCTTATACAACTGTCGGGTATGTTTGTGTTCTGAGAGGTACAACTGTCTGGTATGTTTGTTTACTTGCGGATAGAACTGACTGGTATATTTGTTTACTGGCGGATACATCTGACGGGTATGTTTGTGTATTGACAAATACAACTGTTGGGGATGTTTGTGTACTGACAGATACAACTGACGGGTATGTTTGTGTACTGGCAGATACAACTGTCGGGTATGTTTTCGTACTGACAGATATAACTCTCGGGTATGTTTGTGCGCTGAGAGATACAACTGACGGGTATGTTTGTGTACTGACAGATACAACTGTCGGGGATGTTTGTGTACTGGCAGATACAACTGTCGGGTATGTTTGTGTACTGACAGATACAACTGTTGGGGATGTTTGTGTACTGGCAGATACAACTGTCGGGTATGTTTGTGTACTGACAGATACAACTGTCGGGTATGTTTTCGTACTGACAGATACAACTCTCGGGTATTTTTGTTTACTGGCGGATAGAACTGACGGGTATATTTGTGTACTGACAGATACAACTGTTGGGGATGTTTGTGTACTGACAGATACAACTGTTGGGGATGTTTGTGTACTGACAGATACAACTGTCGAGTATGTTTGTGTACTGACAGATACAACTGACGGGGATGTTTGTGTACTGACAGATACAACTGTTGGGGATGTTTGTGTACTGACAGATACAACTGACGGGGATGTTTGTGTACTGACAGATACAACTGACGGGGATGTTCGTGTACTGACAGATACAACTGACGGGTATGTTCGTGTACTGACAGATACAACTGACGGGTATGTTTGTGTACTGACAGATACAACTGTCAGATATGTTTGTTTACTGGCGGATAGAACTGTCGGGTATATTTGTTTACTGGCGGATACAACTGACGGGTAAATTTGTGTACTGACATATACAACTGTCGGGTATATTTTCGTACTGACAGATACAACTGTCGGGTATGTTTTCGTACTGACAGATACAACTCTCGGGTATTTTTGTTTACTGGCGGATAGAACTGACGGGTATATTTGTGTACTGACAGATACAACTGTTGGGGATGTTTGTGTACTGACAGATACAACTATTGGGGATGTTTGTGTACTGACAGCTACAACTGACGGGTATGTTTGTGTACTGACAGATACAACTGACGGGGATGTTTGTGTACTGACAGATACAACTGTTGGGGATGTTTGTGTACTGACAGATACAACTGACGGGGATGTTTGTGTACTGACAGATACAACTGACGGGGATGTTTGTGTACTGACATATACAACTGTTGGGGATGTTTGTGTACTGACAGATACAACTGTTGGGGATGTTTGTGTACTGACAGATACAACTGTTGGGGATGTTTGTGTACTGACAGATACAACTGTTGGGGATGTTTGTGTACTGACAGATACAACTGTTGGGGATGTTTGTGTACTGACAGACGCAACTGTTGGGGATGTTTGTGTACTGACAGATACAACTGTTGGGGATGTTTGTGTACTGACAGATACAACTGTTGGGGATGTTTGTGTACTGACAGATACAACTGACGGGGATGTTTGTGTACTGACAGATACAACTGTTGGGGAGGTTTGTGTACTGACAGATACAACTGACGGGTATGTTTATGTACTGGCAGATACAACGGTCGGGTATGTTTTCGTACTGACAGATATAACTCTCGGGTTTATTTATTTACTGGCGGATACAACTGTCGGGTATGTTTGTGTACTGACAGATACAACTGTCGGGTATGTTTGTGTACTGACAGATACAACTGTCAGGTATATTTATTTACTGGCGAATACAACTGTCGGGAATGTTTGTTTACTGATAGATACAACTGACGGGTATGTTTGTGTACTTAGAGATACAACTGACGGGTATGTTTGTGTACTGACAGATATAACTGATTTGTATGTTTGTGTATTGACAGATACAACTGTTGGGGATGTTTGTTTACTGACAGATACAACTGACGGGTATGTTTGTGTACTGGCAGATACAACGGTCGGGTATGTTTTCGTACTGATAGATATAACTCTCGGGTATATTTATTTACTGGCGGATACAACTGACGGGTATGTTTGTGTACTGACAGATACAACTGTCAGGTATGTTTGTTTACTGGCGGATAGAACTGTTGGGTATATTTGTTTACTGGCGGATAGAACTGACGGGTATATTTGTTCACTGACAGATACAACTGTCGGGAATGTTTGTTTACTGGCGGATACAACTGACGGGTATGTTTGTGTACTGACAGATACAACTGACTGGTATGTTTGTGTATTGACAGATACAACTGACTGGTATGTTGGTGTACTGGCAGATACAACGGTCGGGTATGTTTTCGTACTGACAGATATAACTCTCGGGTATATTTATTTACTGGTGGATAGAACTGACGGGTATATTTGTGTACTGACAGATAAAACTGTTGGGGATGTTTGTTTACTGACAGATACAACTGTCGGGTATGTTTGTGTACTGAGAGATACAACTGACGGGTATGTTTGTGTACTGACAGATACAACTGACGGGTATATTTGTGTACTGACAGATACAACAGTCGGGTATGTTTGTGTACTGAGACCTACAACTGTTGAGTATATATGTGTACTGACAGATACAACTGCCGGAGCTGTTTGTTTACTGGCGGATACAACTGACGGGTATGTTTGTGTACTGACAGATACAACTGTCGGGCATGTTTGTTTACTGGCGGAAACAACTGTCTGGTATGTTTGTTTACTTGCAGATAGAACTGACGGGTATATTTGTGTACTGACAGATACAACTGTCGGGTATGTTTATGGTCCGACAGATATCATTATTGCTTAGCAGGGGCGGCGGGGTAGCCTAGTGGTTAATGCGTTGGCTCGTCACGCCGAAGACCCGGGTTCGCATCCCCACATGTGTACATTGTGTGAAGCCCATTTCTGGTGTCCCCCGCCGTGATGTTTCTGGAATATTGCTAAAAGCTGCGTAAAACCAAAGTGAGTCAGTCAGTATTATTACTGAGCGTTAACTTCAGTTAGGTGCAAAAGGTCATAAATATTGCAGGTCTGCATGACGCGTGATACTGTCCGAAACACTGACCATTACAGGGAGTGCTCACACCTCCCTTCTCATTGCCACCTGCGTTAAGGCTTGGGGACGTGGTGGACAGCAAGGTGTCGTGTACTGTTGATTCTGATCGAGCACGTGCAGGCACCGTCGTATAGCCGGAGTCTGGCTGGGTGCTGAGTAACTTACATTGTATGAACACTGAGTGAGTTGGTTGGTTTGTTGTGTAACGTCCCACTCAGCAATATTCCAGCTATATAGCGGCGGTCTGTAATTAATCGAGACTGGATCGGGTGGTCAGGCTCGCTGACTTGGTTGATACATGTCATCGTATCCCACTTGCGAAGATCGATGCACGTGATGTTGATCACTGGATTGTCTGGTCCAGACTCGATTACACAGACCGCCGACATAAAACTGGGATATTTCTGAGTGCGGCGTAAAACTAAACTCACTGACTCATTGGATAAAGTCAATTCCAAGATCCGCAATTCACTAATATGTACGATGTTCCTCCCCTTTACATAATGTTCGAATGTAGACTAACATTTAGTCTTGTGTACATGTTGAACTGTATCAGTAGACACGGAACTTTGGATGAAGTCTATTCAAAGATCTGCAGGTCATTAATATGTACCATTTTCATCGTTCCAGTGACATCTTAGACAAAATATACAGTCTGTCATATCTCCACTACAGCACAGTGTCGGTCACGGTGGCAATCGTGGTGGGAATTGTTGTTTCTATTCTAACAGGTAAGATAATTATTCTTTAATCACATAGTTATAGTACGTTAAGTCGTTTCTGGTGTCCATGGTCGTAAGATTGCTGAAATACTGATATTGCGGCGTACCACCTTAATCACTCATTTAGTACTGTTCGTTCATTTGCCGTTTTGAAGAGGTTGCGTTTGCATCTTACACGCAATGCTTACATGGGTTTAAGCATTAAAGTTTACAGTGCCATGTTACATATTAAAGATCAACCGGACCCGTGAAGAGCCGGGTTAGAATTGATCTTCAGTAACCCTTGCTTGTCGTAAGAGGCGACTGACGGGTGGTCAGGCTCGCCGACTTGGTTGACACATGTCACCGTATTCCAACTACGTAGATCGATGTTCATGATGTTGATCACTGGATTGTCTGGTCCAGACTCGATATAGTTCGAATATTGCAGCGTAAAGCTCGACTCACTCACTCAAAGGTCAACCGAACACTAGTCAATGGGTACTGGTGTTCTACCCTGGGATTATATCCTCTGCATTTTTACTGTGACATTCCAAATCATAACAGTCACAACCGGATATGCAAACGTAATTACATATTGTATACACTGTGACCATGGAATTGTCCGTTTAGCAGAGCACCGCTTGGTGGCAAACCGAAACATGAGTCTCATTAACCTATTCAGACAATGACCTACTTTTCAGCCGATCCGAATTTTCTCGTGTGAAAGTGAAAATAGACATCACAAACAACTATGGTTACACTGAATTCCAGTTCCTTGTTCCATACGAAAATGGTATTTACTAATGAATTTCAATTTTAAAGTTTAATAACATCGTATTCCTACATTTTATGGCGAGGTATAGGCAGCATGACCTTAACTAAGACGTCACAGACTGCCCCAGTTTGATGAAGTCGGAAAATGATTCACAATGCATCTGGCACACTGGTTACATCGGTTATGTGTTTTCCTTGCTTACTTAGTGTAGTTCAGTAACGCACAATGTGATTGATATAATATCAAGTCCGTACCAGACCGCCAAACGTTTATAGCTGCAGAGCCTCGTTTTGAGATTTCCACGTTTCTGTTTGTCAGTGCTCGCTGTACGACAGAGCACGCTGCACGACATGTATTCAAGGATTATAAGGAACGTAGTGTTGCAATATATACATGTAAGTGCTTAGATGTATCAAATAATACTGATTAATATTTATATATCCTGTTAAATGAATTGGTCTCAAAATTCTGGACTTGTTATTGTACTAAATTGCGCAAAAGGACGGAACCCAGTCAACAGGAAATGAGACTGTTGTGTAATCAATGTTTTGACTTGGTTTCCTTGTTTGTCTCTTGCGCTCGTTTGTTATTGTATTTTTACCATATGATTAAGTATGAACTTTGCCCATGACATGATCACGTGACCTTTGGGCCAAATACAAATAACGGATACTGCATGTGAATGACATGTTGTGCCGCAGGTATTTCTATAGTGTCACGCTATCACTACGGTGAAACACATCAAGTCAAAACTGACTGGATTCCATCCTATTGCAGAACTTAGTACAATAATCATTCCTGAAATTTGAGACCAACTCATTCAACTGGATATATATAAATATTAACCAGTATTATTTGATACATCTAACGACTAAGTATATTGCAACACTACGCTCCTTCTAATCCTTGCAAACATGTCGTGCAGCGTGCTCTGTCGTACAGCGTGCTCTGACAAACGGAAATCTTTGAATCTCAAAACAAGGCTCTCCCGTTAGAAAGGTTTGGCGGTCTGGTACGGACTTGATATTATATAAATCACATTGTACGTTACCAAAATACTCTTAATAAGCTCGAAAAACACATAACAGATGTAACCAGTGAGCTAGATGAATTGTGAATCATTGTACGACCTCTTCGAACAGCAGTCTGTGACGTCTTAGTTGACGACATGCTGCATAAACCTCGACATAAAATATAAGCGATTTTTTTAAACTTTAAAATTTATTTGTAAATACCATTTTCTTATGAAACAAGGATCTGGAATTTAGTGTAACCATAGTTGTTTGTAGTGTCTCTTTTCACTTTCACACGAGAAATTTCGGATCGGCTGAAAAGTAGGTGATTGTCGGAATTGGTTATTGAGACCCATGTTTCGGTTTGTCACACCAATGTTTAACTTTATTCTTCTGTTGAGTATAGGGGCGGTGGGGGAAGCCTTATGGTTAAAGCATCCGCTCGTCACGCCAAAGACCAGTTTTCGATTCCCCACATGGGCACAATGTGTGAAGCCCATTTCTGGTGTCCCCCGCCATGATATTGCTGGAATATTGCTAAAAGCGGCATAAAACCACACACACTTACTGTTTAGTATATATTGCCGTTTTTAGTTTATTTTGACAAAACATTGTGGCAATGAATGGTTGCATTTGGGGATTCTGGTAAATGAACTGATTGCTCAAATCCAGTCCAGTAATTTGTGGCTTAATGATCATCTATAGTGTGAAGTATTTTGCTTACCTTCTGTCATATATGGGGCAGTGGGGTACCCTAGTGGTTAAAGCGTTCGCTCGTCACACCGAAGGCCCGGGTTTGACTTCCCACGTGCGTACAATGTATGATACCCATTTCTGGTGTCCCCATTGCTGGAATAAGGCTTAAACCGTCGAAAAACTAAACTCACTCACTCTGACATATCTATATTCGTTTAGGTTGCAACAAAGGGAAGCCTGTGGACCCAGAATTGTATTTGCATATACGGAATGGGTTCTGCTTGTATAAAAAGGTAAATGTCGTGGTAATTGTATAATACACTAAGGTTAACTCACAGGAACCACTGATTTTAGTTCCTTATAACCGTAGTTCTTTATGCACATTTCGACTAAAATATAAAGCAAGGAGCCGCTGAAAGGTTTGTAATATCCGTCAGCTTAAATATTTTGTTTAATCAATGCTTGCTTTTATTGACCAATCCATTAAATGGCAAATGCAAACGAAACCTAAGTATTATTAATATTTGACATTGATGTTTGAATCCGGTGGACCGACATCTAAAAGAATTTTAAAAATTCTGATTACCCCAAGGGTCTCTTTGCTCATCATAGTATTCATGTCCTCTGTTTCAGTGTCTGGCTGGATATTCCCTGGCACCAAGAAACACAACTCTTGTAGAAGCTACTCCCCCATCTTATGCTCTACCATTTATGGTAAGGATACTGAGAACTGACTTGGCACTTGGCCAGTGGTTAAAGAAATAATGAAAGCAGTTTTGAAATGCGTTTAGGTGTTCCCTTCAAGTACAGCCCATAAAGCGAAACTGGGAAAGGTTTCTTCCGTTTTAAAAAATATCTGATTCATTTCCACAGCCCGTAACTGCCATGTTAACCTTTTACTAGGCTAATGATGGGAAAACTCAATTCTGACTGTGCTCTCCTAATCAAATGTGTTTGATTATCTTATATCATACTTTCTTATCATCCTAATCAGGTAAAGGAGCCTCTGATTGTTTTGATGAAAGATTACAAGATCTTGTCAGCAAGAACTGCGACTTTCTGTAATGTCTTTACAATGACGTTAAACTCATCCCGCTCCTGTTGGTTACAGATATATGACGATCACAGTATACAGGAAAAGGAGCCTACTATATCTTTGCTTGGAGCAAAGAAGACTGTCGTGAATGCAGACAAAATTGAGCATCTCCTTAAAGACGATAGCAGGTCGTCGTGTGTATAGAACCATCCAGGCAGAAGGAACTCAGTATCATTGACTTGTAGATGCTGTGACTGTGCAGCACATCTCAATTCCAACGCCACATATCGAGACAACTGATGTCAGCTGAACCAGTGGCTGTACTGAGAACGAAGGACAATGGTGGACGTCGCTCCACTATGACGTCACAACTGTTGGGATTTCGATACGCATATAGGCTGGTTGCCAGGGTACTTTTTAGTTGGTTTTAGACAACAATGCAATCAGATAGGACTTTGTAATGTTTAAGTGTGTACTTTGACTATTTGACCTGATTCCAAGGGTCATTGTGAACCACGATAGCTAACGGACAGTAGACTAGCATAGTAAAGTATGGGCTTAACATAGTGATGTTGCATCCTGGTATATAGGAGTTGCATCTTAGTATGAAACTACAGCGTCTTAGCATATAGATGTTGCATCCTGGTATATTAGAGTTGCATCTTAGTATGAAAGTACAGCGTCTTAACATATAGATGTTGCATCCTGGTATAATGGAGCTGCATCTTAGTATAAAAGTAAAGCCTCTTAGCATAGTGGTGTTACATCCTGGTATAGTGGAGAAACATCTTAGTATGCAAGTACAGCGTCTTAGCATAGTGGTGTTACATCTTAGCATAGTGATGTTCCAACCTGGAATATTGGAGTTGCATCTTACTATGAAAGTTCAGTGTCTTAGCATGGTATTGTGTTTTAGTATAGTGATGTTGCAAGATGGCGATGCTGCATCTTGGTACTGTGATATTGTCCCGTATTTGCACAGCGATGCAATAAATTCTCATGGCTGTTTGGAGTGAAATACTCTTTTAACATGCTGTGAAACCTTATATTGTGTTCTCATATTGATTGTGACATGATCTTGATAGCTGAGGCACATAAGTGTCCATACGAATTTACGCCATCATGGAAATGAATACGTTCCACTGATTAATGAACGAACTGGTCGAGTAAGATTTGTTGGCTGGTTTGCTGTTAAAATCAATCTCTCCTAAAATACATTATCGAAATTTGCGGACGTTGAATTTATTTGGTGCGGCTGTTTATATACCAAAGTTGGTAAAACTCCGGAAATTAAAATTCTGATCATTGTTACAGCAATTTAAACTTAATCTATGAAGCGTTCCACTGCCAAAAAGATCTGAAAGCAAGTGGCGACTAACGGGATCAGGTGGTCAGGCTCGCTGACTTGGTTGACACATGTCCTCGCATCCCAGTTGCGAAATCGATGACCATGATGTTGATCACTGGATAGTCTGGTCCAGACTCGATTATTTACAAACCGCCGTCATATAGCTGGAATACTGCTGAATGCGACGTTAAACAACAAACAAACAAACACAAAGAGGATCTGAAAAGATGTCATCGTATATTTTTATACTGGAAGTGTCCATATTCACGACTCCAGTAACTGTTTGCACTGGAAGCCTAGTACCGGGTCACCAATGTTTGTGTCTTCATTGATTTGTTTGAGTGAGTGAGTGAGTTTAGTTTTACGCCGCACTCGGCAATATTCCAGCCATATTGCGGTGGTCTGTAAATAATCGAGTCTGGGCCAGACAATCCAGTGATCAACTGGTTTGTTTGACAGAATGCGGGCTGCAATTGTTATTTACAATCTACCAAATTAGTCAAATCGGAACGAAGTTAGAAGGAAGGTCTGATTATAACCTTACCACAGGTAAGTGAGAATGGTTTTACGCCGCATATGACGTATCAGCAATATCACAATGTGGTGAATCGGACCTGGTTCTTCGACGTGACGAGCGAACGTTTACCCACAGGGCTCCCCCACAGACCCGCGAACCAGGAACAACGACCAGTTCCCGTAGTTCCTGCTAAGTAACTATTGCTGGGTAACGTGAAGACGTTCAAGGTCACGGCGTCATCAAGGTCACGGCGTCATCAATGTCACGACGTTGAAGAGTACATGTGTTTTTAACGGCGGGGGATCGACCCTTTGTGGCATAGTGAGTGAGTGAGTATGGCTTTACGCCGCTTTTAGCAATATTCCAGCAATATCACGGCGGGGGATTCACCCTTTGTACCTGTACGGGGGAAACGAACCCGGGGCTTCGGCGAAAATTTTAACCACAAGGCTACCCCACCGCCCCGTATTAACAAGGAATCATTGTTTGAAATCTATAATCATGCGATGGTAATATTCTCACCAGTTTTCAAGAACACCGAATAGTTTTCCTTCCACGATAGTAACCACGTTAAAGAACCTTACAAACAACATGGACAGATCTTGTTTAAAACTATTCAAGATGTATATGCTTGTAATTCTGTGATTACACTATCGGCTCTCTTAAACGGCATTGCAGATCTGACAAAGCATCAAAGTGAAATTATATTTAAAAAATGTACATCAGTATATAAGCAAATCTAAACGATTCCAGTAGTCATCTTTATATACACCTTTCGTATTGTAACATTTCCCCTGAACTGTCAATCTTCCTCTGTCTCCTATAACTGCTTAAATGTGCAGAAATGTGGTGTTGTAAATATCTTTGGAGAGGGGTTTTATTAGATGCAAGAACTTAGCCCCGATCGTTTTCACGTTCTGAATAAAATACGTTTAAACTAAAGAACCTTACATACTTGGACACACTTTGGAAAAAGTATTCAATGATTTTTTAAGATCACCATGTGTTTAATTAAATTATTCTGAAATATTAACTTGTATTGTACAGTGTTGTAGTCAAACAAGATTAATCCTTACATCCAAGATAGACGCAAAATTGCACAAATATTCACAATTTACAGTTAAGTGTAAAAATACACACGTATATTTATTGAAATATCCTTGTCGGATTTTACATATCACCCCACAATTGCATGGAGAGTTATCTCCCTTTGATCACAGCTGTCCCATTCTCATGTCATTTACTGATATTTTAATGAACCAGGCTGATCGTTATTATTGCCTTTTAATCTTTAGACAATACAATAAATGTGAAACTCACATACACTGCTGTGAAACAATATGAAGTATATTCGCTTGGGTTAGGATTTCTCAATGATACAAGAACATGCAGATGTGTGCCAGTGTAGAACATTTTACGTCCGCATCAATGGTTTCGATAACCAAACGTTTTTTCTTGTGTACGACTGAGAAAGTTTCATGTAATGTATAAAGAATTCAGAACAAAATACGTCCTGGAATATTGCACTCTCTGTGTGTGTTTGTGTGCGTGTGTGCGTGCGCGCGCATGTGTATATATACACGTTGGTGTGCATGTGTTTCAGAGCACGAATGCGTGTGCGTGCGCATAGTTGTATGAACCAATGTGTCTGTAGGTGCTTGTGAGTGGGAGTATGCGTGCGTGCGTGCGTGCGTGCGTGCGTGCGTGCGTGCGTGCGTGCGTGCGTGCGTGTGTGTGTGTGTTGCTTGTGGTAGGTCCGGACTTACGCCGGTTTACAGTTCTTGCATATTTAGACACCATGCTACAGTTACACATGAGAACCCGAATCAGGCACCAGAAACCAGTGCATGTAGATGACATCAAAATTATGTGGCTTTACAGAACAGTCGTCCGTATCACTTATCCAGGACTGCTGTGAGCGAGTAACCGAATACATAGAGCGCCTGCATTGACATCACAAAAACATTCCGTGTCGAACGTTATCAGTAACATTCAATATAACGGTACAAACGGTGATGCGTTGTCAGAAATACGTAACACACATTTAACTTCCGGGAGAGGTGAAAGCCAGTTCTGTAATGAACCAGAATTCACACCTGTAACACCAGGTAAGAACCACGTGGTTGTCGTAGGTCAATTGACGATCGGATAGTCGAAATGAGTCACTGTTGCTTGTGTTACCAACCATCGGTTCGAGAGTCCCCGAGTAAGTTACATGCTACTGTGAATATAGAAAGCATTCATCACACTGGCTGGACTTTATTAACATGTACATAAAACGGAAACTAGTATTTCACAACAGAATATTTTTCAAGTCAATTTTTATCAATATTAGTGAGTGAGTGAGTGAGTGAGTGGGTGAGTTTGTTTTACGCCGCACTCGGCAATATTCCAGCTATATGGCGGCGGTCTGTAAATAATCGAGTCTGGACCAGACAATCCAATGATCAACAGCATGAGCATCGATCTGCGCAATTGGGAACCGATGACATGTGTCAACCAAGTCAGCGAGCCTGACCACCCGATCCCGTTAGTCGCCTCTTACGACAAGCACGGGTTACTGAAGATCAATATTCAAACCCGGACTTCACGGGTTATCAATATTAGTGACCAAAGAAGCTTCTGTTTTTTTCAGGAATAATAGCGAATTGTGGTCCAGGCTCGATTATATACAGACCGCCTGAATATTGCAGGAGTGCGGCGTAAAACAAGAAACCAAACCAAGGTTCCGGAACACACTTTGATACATATTATAATTTTCACATTTTCACTACAGCTTAATCCTGTGTTAAATTATATTCCCAAAGTATTTATTACAATGAATGTAACGGTAAATGGACATTGATAAGCAATTAATATGGCACAGATGATATCTCACAACAGAATGTACTTTGCAATACTGGTGACCAAACAAGCTACCAACGTACAGTAAATAACAGCTATTGGTGGAACACAACTTAATAAATTATGATATAATTCGATTAACCGTTTTACTAATCATCTTCTATTACAATGTGATATAAATTCATATATTACATGATGTTAGCCGTAAATGGACCTGTGTAAGCAATTTAAATGAAATAGATTATATTTGTCTGTTTTGTTTCTTTCATAACGCCGCAATATTCCAGCTATATGGCGGCGGTCTGGAAATAATCGAGTCAGACCAGACAATCCAGTGAGCAACAGCATGAACATCAATTGGGATACGATGACATGTGTCAACCAAGTCGGCGAGCCTGACCAGTCGATCCCGTTATTTGCCTTTTACGACAAGCAAGGGTTGCTAAGATCAATTCTAACCCGGATCTTCACGGGTAGAAATAGATTATAATTCACAGCAAAATGACTTTCAACTGACGTTTTGGAAATATTGGATATCAAACAGTAGTTTTACCACTAAAACGCACAGTTTCATATATATTTAAATTCACTTAACTCCTTCCACTATTATTGTCATGTATTTCTTCCATGAAGCTAGCTGTAGGTGAGTCACGCTCTACTTGCTGAAAAACAAAGTGACACTTTCAAAACATGTCCACGAAAACATGTTCCCGTTTTATATCTGGCGTTTACACGAGTTGCCAGGTGAGCTGAAGAGCTAGCGACAGCTCTACCTCGGTGACACGCTAGCATAACATGCACTTATAAAATATGCGTTATCATGAACTTGACCAACGAATACTATACATACGGAATCAAGATAAGCATCATTCCTGGTTTATTTTTTGGTGTAAGGGTGAGTGAGTGAGTGAGTTTAGTTTTACGCCGCACTCAGCAATATTCCAGCTATAGGGCGGCGGTCTGTCAATAATCGAGTCTGGACCAGACAATCCAATGATCAACAGCATGAGCATCGATCTGCGCAATTGGGAACCGATGACATGTGTCGACCAAGTCAGCGAGCCTGACCACCCGATCCCGTCATAGTCGCCTCTTACGACAAGCATGGGCTACTGAAGATCAATATTCAAACCCGGACCTTAACGGCGTAAAACTAAACTCACTCACTTTTAGAACAAGTATGGGTTGCTAAAAGACTAATTCTAACCTACACTAACGCTTAGTCTCTGAATATATATAATTTTGATAGTAACAAACAAACCCATATAAATTGAAAAGGAGCCCTAGGGAGGCCAGAGATTCAGAACCTGAACCTGAGGAAATCTAGACTTGCTTTATTTAGGGCTTTAGCACTGCAGAGAGGGCTTGGCAGTAGGGAAAATAATGTGGTTCAGGGACTGAGACAGAGTGAGTGAGTGAGTTTAGTTTTACGCCGCACTCAGCAATATTCCAGCTATATGGCGGCGGTCTGTAAATAATCGAGTCTGGACCAGACAATCCAGTGATCAACAGCATGAGCATCGATCTGCGCAATTGGGAACCGATGACATGTGTCAACCAAGTCAGCGAAACTGACCACCCGATCCCGTTAGTCGCCTCTTACGACAAGATAGTCGCTTTTTATGGCAAGCACATGGGTTGCTGAAGACCTATTCTACCCCGGATCTTCACGGGTCGACTGAGACAGACTAATTCTAACCCTGATCTTCAACTTACAGAAACGGAAACGGCTAGTGGGCAAGCATGTTAAACACGATTTTACAGTTACTGGCTTCCCAAATTATGGGGTAGCCTAGTGGTTAAAGCATTGCCTCGTCACGCCAAAGACCCAGGTTTGATTCCCCACATGGGTACAATGTGTGAAGCCCATTTCTGGTGTCCCCCGCCGTGATATTGATGGAATATTGTTAAAAGTGGCGTAAAACTAAACCCACTTACTCATTGTAGTCACAACCACAACACAAATTTTCACTTTTTTCCTACCTCTCCCCTTTCTTCTGTGCATCAGTATATGTTGAATGAAAATGAACACTATGTAACTTTACTACGGCAGCTAATTAGGTGAGGTGAGGTGAAATTGTGTTTAACGTCGTGCTTGAGAATATTTCGCTCATATGACGACATACATGCGTGTGTATGTGTATGTGCGGCTGCGTGTACTAGCCCAGACTTAAGCTGGCTTTATGGTGCTAGCCCACTGAGATTCCACGCCGCAGTGAAGCATGAATAGCAAACTCAGACACATTATACTGACTCCGAGTCGACCAGTCCCATTAATGCCGAGCGCCAGGCAGGGGCCAACAAGTACCATATTTTAACGTCTTTTGGTATGACGCGGGATGACCCGCGACCTTCCGCTCTCCGGGCGGACGCTCTAACCACTACACCACGGAGGCGGTCGCTGATTAGGTAATTACTCAAGGAGTGAATGTTCACGTGTGAAATAACATGCACACATTCTTCATTCGAGCAGGTCAGATGAGTCACAGGGTCAAGGGATGATGACCTGTTCTCATTATCATAATGCAGGCAATATATGTCAGCACCCGAATTAACCCCAGGCGACACAAGTTGCCTACAGCCTCGTGTCTATTAAACAACGATCTGATTACACAGATTAAAATAAATCGATTGGTTGGGGCAATAAATACATGTATGTATTTAACAACGAATCTGTTTATCAATTCAGCTCCCTGCACCACTTCTGACAAATTTTCAAATGAAAAATTCATACAAATTTAAGTATGCAGCCTTTCGGGATCAAACCCTCTTTCGATCAAACACTAAATGGCCTGGCGAGCCCTTGTGCGGGATACGCATTATGTCGGAAAGCGCACGTTAAATCATCATCACTATCGTCACCAATTTATATATTTGTGTTTATTAAAATTGTATGTCGTTTTAGTCGGGTTATGTCGAATGTACTGTTAATGCTCCAACTAGTGGTGGTCCGATTAATTGAAATAATCGAAGATTGGTCGCAGTGACTGAACGACCAAACAATCGATCATATTTTCTCATAATCGAACACAAACAATTCCCGAACACTTGTTTGCATTAACAATATCTTTCACAAGGTTGGTTATGTCTGTTACATTTCATGAACACTACAAGCTCGTTCCAAGTCATGGTTGAATTTATCTTCAAGACTCCAAGAAATTAATGTTCCTTACCTAGTAGTCATTCTTTAAAGATGTGAAATTTGCCAATGCCTTTTGTGCAATTTCCAAAAACACCAAAGAAAAACCAACAGGGTTTTTTCTTTATTTTTAACGTCGTACTTAAGAATATTTCGCTCATATGACGACGTGCATGCGTGTGTATGTATGGCTGCTTGTACTAGCCCAGACTTAAGCTGGTTTTATAGTGCCAGCTCACTGAGATACCATGCCGCAGTTAAGCATGAATACCCAACTCAGGCGAATTATACTGACTCCGAGCAGACCAGTCCTTGTTGTACCCATTAATGCCGAGCGCCAGGCAGGGAACAACAAGTACCATATTTTTGGTAAGACGCGGTCGGGGATCGAACTCGCGACCTTCCGCTCTTATTTTGAAATTTGCCCGAAATTGTACGCATCAAGCCCTTGTATACATAAACAGCATGTCATTGAAAAGAAGACACACATTTTTAAAAAACATCCACTATCCGCTTTACTGTCTCAATCTGTACCAAACGCTTTAATTGTAGTATAGTTACTTGTTTACACAATAAACTACCACTCGTCAGACTCGGCTTTTGATAAAATTTATGATCCTATTAGATGTTTAAGTCTTAATCCGTTAATTATAGGTTTACAGGGTCTTCATTGCCTCTGTGGGTATTGTCAATTAACAGTGTTGTTATAAGCACAGCTGCCATCAGTTATCGTCCATCACGCGTGTTGTGACAATGATTGACACCTCGGCCTCAACAACACGATGCGAAATTGACAATTACCTTTATGAATGCGCAGCCAGTGCAATGTTACGTAAACAGAAGGGATTTACAAGATTCTTGGCGTCTGATGTTGTGACGGTAATGTAGACTTGTGGATATAAAAGACAAAATGACTTTATTGGAGGTATCATTAACACTTGAACCGTGCAACTAGTTCAAACGAAGAGAAACGTAGAAGATCTAGCAGGTTTTAGCCGTTTCCCGAGTCTTCACTCAAGCAGACTGACCCTGTTATCGACAAGTGTCCTTAGTAAATCGAAGCGTCGTAAAAAAGGTACATACACGGTTTTACTTGATCTGATTTAATGTTGCATTTTTTTCAACCTTACAATCGATACAAACTGACTTCGTATAATTGTAACTAAAATGATGAAAATGATGAAAACGTAAAGTGTATCTAAAAATAAGTGAATTTACATTTTTGAACGGCACACACATAAATGCAAGCATTTATAGATGCCATTTTCCTCATTTTGAGGTACACGATGTTTCGAAATATTTTTATCTAGTACATTCGTGTTCCTTCATCACCTGAATCCTCGTTAGGATGAGAAAGCATCAATAACTCGGTGCGCCTAGTGGCTGAAAAGAGTTGTATACTCCCCAGGGTGTTGAGATTGATAATACGATGTGCCGTTGAGATTGACATCCAATGATCGAGGGGAAAATACCAGCGCCTTGAGCATGCACTCACTTGCGTGGATATGTGCGCTATATATATATCCTATAATAATAATAATTATTATAATGTATCTATATGAGTCTAGTTAAATTTTGGAATGTAAATCGTATTTTTTATATTTTATATATTCATTTTAATTTACGTTACCTTTAATATTTATTACATTATATTTTTGAAATATATTTAATACATTTGGATAATAATAAAATGTTAAGCTGGGTTGATGTGTTCCCATGTGGCTATTATTCTACTGGCTTGACCTTGTGCTGACTGTGTGGCAGGGCATCGATGTATTTAAAGCTTCGTGTACTGGTAGGGTCAAGTGTATGGCGAGTGTCTCACACCTTGTTTGTTGAACTGAAACGAGATGGTTCAGCGGCTGTTCGTAACGTTCGCCGATTAGGCGTAACATTGCAAAGTTACATGTACAACAGCAATGTTACGGCTAATCACCGTTAATAATCGATCATGAAGGTGAATATTGAGTAAGGTTTCTTACTGATGTCTCCGATCTGGAAGTTGCATAATAAATTCATTAAGAAAGAATTCGAAAGACCGCTGAGTAGGCATTTAAATGTAAATACGTTTTGCTAGGTGCTATGTTTTTCGTTATATGCTAGGTAAAAAAATATATTTTACTGGTGCAAAAATATGCGACTGAGCCTATACGGCCATTTGGAATTTGTGCAACTCCAAAACTCACATCTATTTCATTGCGAGTTAGGGGCGGTGGGGTGCCGAATGGTTAAAGCGTTCGCTCGACATGCCGAAGGCCCGTTCGATTCCACACATGGATACTATGTGTGAAGCCCATTTCTGGTGTCCCCGCCGTGATATTGCTGGAATATTGCTAAAAGCGGCGTAAAACTAACCTCACTTGCTCATTGTGATTTTTGTAAGCCCATTGATGTTGTCCCCTGTGGTGGTATTGCTGGAATATTGCTAAATGCGGCGTAAAACTAAACTCGCTCACTCCATTTCATTACGATATAGGGCATACTGTCACATGTAACATGTACATGTGAGACGTGATTAACAAGATCGCTAGATCGCGCGTCTGGTTAGCCTTCATCTAAGTCGCTGATATTAATCATGTAAAGGCGAATTAACCTCAGTTCTCATTTGTGATAAGATGATATTAACTGTCGTAACAGTGTCGTTCAATAAGCACCATCATGGGAGGAAGCGAAGTCCCTGTCGCGAAAGCGGAAAACGTGCTGTTGTCACCACGGCAACTGCTGCGTCAGACCTATCCCGTGTCGACCCACGCTGTGTGGCTATAATTAGATCCCGGACACTGGGTTTACCGCAAAGGTTTATTTATCACTGGCTGACGTGCGTCACGTTGTTCGCTGTGACGCTGTGTGCTACACCTAAATCTCCACTGTGAAACTTCAGTTAGCGTGTATTGGTCTAACCGAGAAGACGTTGTCCTGTAAAAACTCCCTCAGATCATGTAAATTTGGATTTATGAAACAGAAAGGTACGTTTTTGTTGAATTTTGATATCGTATGACATATCTGAGAAAACATGAGAGTTACGTTCTTAATATCCTGTGTAGTGAAAGACCGAATGGTAATTAATTACATTCGAAATATTTCCATGAACTGTTTATATTTACGCTTTTTTATAAGACACTATGTCGATCTGTGTATAATTTTACTGAATCAATATATTTGTAGAAATGATGATTTCAAAAGAACTGTTTACGTACAATAGCACTTCGATGTGATATTTCGTTTAGAAAATGCCGACCAAGTAGCTCAATGGGGACAAAGGAGGGTTAGTTATATATTGAGTCATACAATACTTCTAGCCCCAAGGGTAACTTCCCTAGTCGGTGGTAACAATGTTAACTGTGGGTTCAATGTGACTCAGTTTCAATTGCCTGTGACGGATTAGACGGACGTTTCCAGTGAAATACCTCCCACCAACGTGTAAATTGTAATCACCCTGTGTCAACTCCGTCCGACATGTATTTTATAATGCCTAAAACCCTCACCCAGGGGTGTTTTCCACCTTGTTATGTAACGGAAATGTCTCAAGTAGAACACAACGAGCAGCCCATATCTATTAATAAACACAACGTCCTCACAACACGAAACTATCGGGATGTTTACTCGCTCGCCATACGTGACGTCACATGAATGAAAAAAAGGTTATTTCCAGTCTTGCCCGTTACAGCAAACAGGAACACTTACAAACGCGAACAATTCTCTGACTGGCTGATTAATTCACCCGAGAAAAACATCCTGTGTATGTGTTCGAAATCTGATCCTGAATTGTGTTTTGATAGCATGATAGACGTTTCTTTGGTGAAATTAACAAGATTTGATTTCACATGCAAGGGTATATGTACACGGTGTATGTGTTAAAAGCTCTCTTTTGTAATCTGATTCTCTTTAATCCTGTCGGATCAATAAAGGGAATTTAAACTGATACTCTGTCTTCAGTGATCTTACCATATCACTTCGGAAGTACAATATTGACAATACGTATGGATAATAACGTCTTTTATTCCGTGTGACGTTTTCTTGTATCGTTGTCAAGCAGGGATGTGATATGAAGTGGAGGGGATAATATAATTAGTATTGTAGAAATCTGATGATGAAGCCAATGAGTTAACAAAGGGAAAGACGTGGAAGCCAGAGATGTACAAAGCAAAGAGGTTGTAATCAATATATGTTGTCTGATGCGTATATACCAATACAAACCATTTTATTGTTAACAACTTTATATTCTTTGTTCCGTCTTAGCGTATCTAATCTCGAAAATGGTACACTACTGCAGTGAGTTAATCATCTATCCTCTTTTCAGATTAAAGACAATGTCTTCCACCGCCCTGATCGATATTGACATCACCTCAGAAATGGCTGCGCCTGCTGCGTGGACACCTGGGAGATTCCTCACCAACGGGGATGCCACCGTGATTGACGTGAACTCTCCCGTGTACGACCCGGTCAGAGGTCAAAGATCAAATATATTCGGAGGAATGGGTCATACATCCCAAGATCTGTCATACATGGTACGTATATCTTATCTATGATATATACGACATACGCATATTGCTAATATGTGGGTTATCGTGATTAGGTAGCGTTACTCGTCATATTACTATATTGACTCACTGACCTGTAGCACGTCAATAGCACGTATATTGCAATAAGTGTTTCTACTTGAAAACCTGGATATCCGTCTTATGGCCCCACGCACATTGTTACGTGGCCTGTCATGGGGATCCTCACGTAATGTTAAGTCACCAGTGCTTAAGTCAAGTACGAGAATGGAGAATTAATTAAACGACGATCAGCTGTAGGAATAATCCGTTTACTGGCCAGAGACAACGAAGAACATCTGCACATAGAATGTGTGTTTTGCAGGACCATTATTTTCTGGATAGATTTGGATTTTTCATGTGCTGATACTGAAAACAATTAGACAAGATATACTAGGTCTGGCTTACACCAACCAGACAACTGGACGGCATCCTCGATAATCTCCAGGGTATATGTTCCGATAAATCTCCACTATACCCTAGATGCATCTGCGGTTCGAGCCGATGATTTTATTACCTGATTGGATAAAAGGCCAACCAAGGGAGGTTATAAAATCATGGGCTCGAACCGTAGATACATCCAGGGTATAGTGGAGATTTATCGGAACGTATACCCTGGAGATTATCGAGGATGACTAGAAGTAACCCATTAGGGATCTGAATTTTACTTTTTACTACTTTACAACCCGGCTAATCGTTCTGTATTGAGCCAAGTGGTCAAAGCGTTCGCTGGTCACGCCACTTCGATTCCCACATGGGTACAATACATGGAGCCCACTTCTGTTGTTCACTACCGTGATATTGTATATTGCTTAAGCGGTGTAAGACCATACTCACTTGTTCTGTCATGATTTCACAGCCTGTCAACTTTTCTTCCAGTCGGAGCAGGGATTACACAAGTGCTCATCTCTGCCCCGAGGGACTACCTACCTCATCATGGCATGTTGTGTCGTGGCGTCTTTAAGCCTGGGGCTACTGGCTTACATCCACCTCTAGCGAGCTGACAGGCACTTAACTTGGATTACTCATTCCAACAATGGCGACGAAAGTCACGCAGCAATTTACAGAATTCGACAAGGGAGATAACCGCGCCCGTTCCTCCCCGTGACTAGAAGAGACGAGACCTGTCTCCCTAAACCCAGTGCAATACTTGGACATATAATACTATAAATGGCATGAGAAAACAGCATAATGTGTGGTAACCAAGGCAACCCCATATAATAGTAAAACCAAACTGTTCCTGTTATTTATTGCGACACATTTCGTAATATATAGTCAGTAAAAGTCTTATTTAATTTAAGCTCATAGTCTACCCACTGTTGACTGATCTCGAAGGTGCTATGGTCTAGAACCATCAATCTCACCATTGCATATTTATCTGAATTCATTGCCAGATGAGATTGTCATATACTTGTTAATAAATATTGGTTGTTTCAAAAACTATGTGTGTGTTTGTGCTTTTGATCGTCGGAACAGATCTGTCTTGATTCGTAAATCTCATCCGACAGCTATGCGTTAATCCAACCACTGTAATTGTCATATGATATTTGTATAGCGCCAATGTCCAGCACAGATGCTCAAAGGCGCTTTGTTTTTTCCCTCGATCATTGGATGTCAATCTCAACGGCATATTGTATTTATCAAACTCCCTGGGGATCATACAACTCTTGCAAACAAAAAGGCGCACCAAGTTAATGTGGCTTTCCCATCCTTACGAGGTACCCATTCACAGCTGGGTGGACTGGGACACAGAACTTTGTTGATGTACCCTAAACTAGGTGTTGGCACGTATTCACAATAGCTGTAAATCGCACCGTTAGAACAGCACGTCGAAACATCTCACGATCCAGTTTATGGTAGATACTCGTCTCAGCGTCAGGGCAACCTCATCGTCAGACTAGCCACCATGGCAGACCAATCTCACCGTCAGACTAGTCTCCCTGGCAGACCAATATCACCTACAGACCAATCTCACCGTCAGACTAGTCTCCCTGGCAGACCAATCTAACCTACAGACCAATCTCACCGTCAGACTAGTCTCCCTGGCAGACCAATCTAACCTACAGACCAATCTCACCATCAGATTATTCTCACTGGCAGACCAATCTCACCTACAGACCAATCTCACCGTCAGACTAGTCTCCCTGGCAGACCAATCTAACCTACAGACCAATCTCACCGTCTGACTAGTCTCCCTGGCAGACCAATCTAACCTACAGACGAATCTCACCATCAGATTATTCTCACTGGCAGACCAATCTAACCTACAGACCAATCTCACCGTGAGACTAGTCTCCTTGGCAGACCAATATTACCTACAGACCAATCTCACCGTCAGTCTAGTCTCCCTGGCAGACCAATCTAACCTACAGACCAATCTCACCATCAGATTATTCTCACTGGCAGACCAATCTCACCTACAGACCAATCTCACCGTCAGACTAGTATCCCTGGCAGACCAATCTAACCTACAGACCAATCTCACCATCAGATTATTCTCACTGGCAGACCAATCTCACCGTCAGACTAGCCTCCCTGGCAGACCAATCTAACCTACAGACCAATCTCACCATCAGATTGTTCTCACTGGCAGACCAATCTCACCTACAGACCAATCTCACCGTCATACTAGTCTCACCGGGAGACCAATCTTACCCTACCTACAGACCAATCTCACCGTCAGATTTTTCTCCCTGGCAGACCATCTCACCTACAGACCAATCCCACCGTCATACTAGTCTCCCCGGCAGACCAATCGTACCTACAGACCAATCTCACCATCAGATTATTCTCACTGGCAGACCAATCTCACCTACAGACCAATCTCACCGTCAGACTAGTCTCCCTGGCAGACCAATCTCACAGATCACACTAGACTCACAGTCAGACCCGATGAAATATATATACGTTAGACCAGGGCTCACCGTCATAACTGATTTAGGCATGCCCTACGATCAGATCTCCCTACCATGTTAGATTTCACCCACACTTCCCAAAAAAGGTTAATCACCATGCATGACACATAGAGTAAATATTTATAAAGTCTGCATGCACATGAAAATTTAATTTAACCAAACGTTGCGACGTGATCCAAACTCTACGATGCTGAAAGGAGTCGCCATTTTGTTTCGAAACGCTGCACACTTTAGGACCATCCATGGTGTCGTTGTTACAATGCAGTCTGTGTGCTGAGATGATCGCAACTCCCATACCCCATACCACAATAGAGTCATAACGTATAGGTAAGACATAGTTTTGTCACCAAAACAGTTCTCGATTGGTCTGTCAGTGAGATTAGCCAGATTGTGAGATGTGATCTGATCAATTTGATCGACATCGAATGATCAACTGTATTTTTGCGTTAGATTACTATAAGGAAACGCCGTCTTGTACAATATATAACCACGTATCATGCTATGTAGTCTGTCATACAGACCCTGAAGTAAATATATCCAAGATATCCCACACAAGTCTAGAAAATGTGGCAAGTCTAGATTTCCACGAAGAAAGTCTCAGGGCTCCTTTTCATTATATTTTATTTTTTTCACTTTGAGCTCTTTTCTTCTGTAAAATATGTTAATTTCAGAGACTAGTGGTTAGTCTACGTGCTATGGTCAGGGGTTCAAATTTAAGATACGTATTGATCATCGTTCGGCCTCGTGTCTCTCCAGTGGATAGCATTATGTATGTCATGTCAACGTTCCCAAGCACAAGCGACATGTAACCTAAATACTCACTAAGAACTGCGGTAGGTAAAGAATCCTCCTTGTGACAAGTGACTAGTACCACCTCCCGGGGTATGGCGACACACCTAATGTCTGGTAATATACTCGGACAATATGGTTCCGCACAGCAGGGCACGCCGAAGACTTCGACTGCCCACATGGTCAGCAAGAGTGAAGGGCGGTGGGGTAGCCTAGTGGTTAAGGCGTTCGCTCGTCACGCCGAAGACCCGGCTTCTATTCCGGTGTGCGGAAAAAAGTCCTCGGTAAAAAAGTACCGAAAAAAGTCCACAATTTGCTTAGGAAAAAAATCATCCGAAAAAAGTCCTGTTTTGAAAAGGGAATTTTTGACAAAAGAATAAAAAGTATTTTTTAGTTTTTCATAGTTTTTCACAGCGTTTGTTGACTTTCATGTAATGTATATTCATGCAACAAATGTAAAATAGACAGATCCTGTATACATTACATTCAGCTTTTATTCCTACTACAGAATATTGGTGAATATTAATGTCTACTTACAGCTCATGCCTTTGAAAACATTGTTTTAAAGATCAAAGATCAGTTTGAATATCTAATCTGTCCATTATAATCACAAAATGTAAGTACTTCATGTTATGTAAGACACTTATAACTCTTTAAGTGTATGCCTTTAAAAACATTGTTTTAAAGATCAAAGATCAATTTATCTATTCAGTAACCCATATGTGTGAGTTATCAATGTTTTTCTAAAATCTTTGACCTCAAAGTTGATGAATAAATAGGTTTTTATTACAATAGGACCTTTTTCCAAGGGCATTTTTTCCTACAATCTCTGTTCCCAAAATGGGCACAATGTGTGAAGTAGAAAATGGGTACCCGGTGGGATAGGTCATACGGATATTAACCTTCTAGCGCCTCACACGCAGCTTTTTCCAGGGCAATAATATCCATTATGTTGTATGTACTCTCAGAGCATTCCTGTGCGGCGTGGAGTTACACGTGGCCGTATCATACAGCAGTGATATTGTGTGGAGTTGTACAACAAACTAATCTTGCTCATAGACAACGTTAAATGGCAACGTTAACTTTTCTTATCCATGGCAGGTTTCTTGGTGGATCATGAAATCTATTGATGGGAATTAATGGGCCATGGATGTAATTAACTCCCATCACAGTCAAAGGGAGTTAAGGATGGCGAAAGGTTAAGATGATAGAAAAGAAACGATGAACCTGATGGCCTGAGAGGATGCCTTTCCTTGTCCTCGACATATTCCCATGACGACTGTGAAGCACTGAATGAAGCCCATTTATTGTGCCTCCTAACATGCTAGTGTTGGAATAATCCTCACTCACTCACTCACTCGCTCACTCACTCACTCACTCACTCACATTCCGAAACTACTCACTTTTCCCACTTTTCGTTATGGAACAATATATTAAATTCCAATCCCCATGTATATTCTAAGTTTGCCCAAAAGAGGTAAAATAAAAGTCACTTATAGTCAGGTTCCTTAACTTACGATTAAAATGCTAACGTTTTCATAATGTGTACATCATGTGATATCCAGCGATTTGATATCATGTTCAGTGCACGGAGCATTTTATGGCCGCTTGCATCAGTTTATCCCGGGGAACGATGAAACATCAGCTGAGACGCTGTGTAGTTTTCAAATATGGTTATAACATGAGCAGAGTTACTGCCCTTGTACCACACTGTCTGCAGTTAGGTATGCCTGTCTGGTAATAGGTAGGTTGGTTTGTTGTTTAACGCCGCACTCAGCAATATTCCAGCTCCTGAGGCAGCTGTCTGTGAATAATCGAGTCTGGACCAGACAATCCAGTGATCAACAGCATGGCCATCGATCTACGCAATTGGCATACCATGATATGTGTCAGCCAAGTCAGCGAGTCTGACTACCCGATCCAGTAGTCGCCTCTTACGACAAGCATGGGTTACTGAAGATCAATTCTAACCCGGATCTTCATGGGTCGTTTGGTGAAAGGAACCACGCACACCATCACCTAGAATCTGACAGTTACCGGACATCGAGTAAATACGATCATCGGCAGACAGAGCAGTAATAATATGTTGGGTTTTTCATGCTTAATGTCAAAGCTCTTCACATCGCATGTCTTCCGCTCTGTCATTGGTCAGTTTGGTTTTATGGCCGCTTTGAACTTTATTTCTGTTGTTCTGATTACTTTTAGGTTTGCTCAACGTTGAGCAGTGATGGGGACGAAGGTTGGTTGTTTTTCTACATTACAGACTCGAACTAACATCAACGTAGGTAATAAGACATTACTAAATCATATAATCTTATCTGCTAAAAAAAATATATATATACTTGCACTTTGAAGAAAATAATTCCAAAAGTTACTAATTTGATTTTTTTTTTGAAAGACATTTATTGGGTTGAAAATTTCATATCCAGGAAGAACAATAAATCTGATAAATTTTCAGACAAATGGTTTCCTTTATTGTCAATATTTAATTTCTGACGTAATCTTTAATCAAAGGGGAATAATTTTACTGGAGTATATTTTCTCTATGCTATCAGTTGATCTAACATTTTTGTTGAACCCAATGAACTTTGATCATGTATTTATGCATTTAGTGCTTTACTTTATATGCTTGTACTCAATTATGGGAACAAATAAAAAATATTTAAAAACAAAAACAAAAAAACCATCAACGTGACAAGCAAACGCTTTATCCACAAGACCATTGGGCTG